ATTTTATGAGTTATATAAAAGGTAAATGTAGTTCATCTCTCTCTCTCTCTTCGTTATGATTATGTAGTGAAGGAGAACACACATGAGGACAAAAAAATGTATTTGAACACAAAATTATTGAATATTTTAGTAAAATCTGAGAATCATACAATGAATTCTTCATTTGGAAAATGTCAATCAATCGTCTCAGACTTCATTGTTTCTTCATTTCCACAGTAATCATTCATTGATCTCGTCCTTTTTTCTTCTGTCTTCTTAACCTTATGCCAGTAGACATTTCGATTTACGAGACATACTACTTATATTTATCGATATCAGTAGCATGCATCATATATTATTCACCAACTAACCTCAGTTTACAACCAATTCATTGAGTTCGACTCACTTGGTTGATTTCTCTTTAAATATTAAATCCGAAGATGAAATTACTTGTTATGATGTTTAACGCTCGTTTTCTTTTTCATGTTCTCAGATTATTCTTTTACTTCTATATGGTTTATTTTAGCATTGGTCTGGTACTCTAATTCGGTACTAGTTAAAAGTCTATCCCTATTTGAAAGACCTCTGTTTGGCAAACACGACCTTGACTGGAAGTAAGGATGACGGGCATTTTGTATTTGTACATCACAACGTGGTCCACTTGATTGCCGCCTACCTTGATATTCTAATATATATTCATATGTAATCTCTGGGTAATGTTTAAAACATTTTGTGGACAAATCAGTTCAAATATTGTTTTTTGTTTTATGTTCCACAATTTAATAAAAATTTCTTCGTTGTTTTGGTGTTTACTACACCAGGTAATAGTAGTATCACTGTATCATATATGTATGGACAGTCAAGTAATCGGCTTATCCATGGTTCTAACTTCCAAACAGACCGATTTATTCTTTCTTTCTGAGTCATATTTTGACCTTGTTAATTATTTACTTATTAACTTTGGTTATTTTTATATGAGCTGACGTGTGTTGATTTCTCAGCCTATTTATTGAGTGTCTTATTTCTGCCTGATCATAAATATTGAGTCACTGTTGATCAAATCGAGTTGTCTTACTCGCATTCTCATCGTCACTTTGTTTCGCTTCGCTTCCCCGCTTCTTATTCTGAATGTTTGCCGGGATAAAAGAATGTTTGTAATAGATCCCACCAACGCAACCCGTACTTGGTTTCCTAATACCGCCGACACACACGGGATAAGCCAAGGTAATATATGATGTTAAATGGAAGATCAATGTACATAGCACCTTCGCACATTCATCTTAATCGGGGTCAGATAGCGGGCCACTATTCTCAAAAACATGTAGAATTATTATTATTGTTATTATTATTATCATTATAAGTGGCTTTATTCAATATTATATTTTTTGTACAACACAGAATTCTCAGCACAGAATATTTCAACAAGTTTCTTTTTCTTATTTATTGATCGACCCTTGCGTTAAATATTGGATGATCGTCAGTTAAAAGTTAGCAGTCCAGTCAATCGACATCCAAATAATCTAAATTCTTTTCGCTGCATACATACTGCCAGCAACCAGCTACTCTCTAAGTTGAAGAGCGAAATGTCGTAAACTTTTCACAAACGCACCTGAAAGTGTTATGTGGCTAATAGGCACAATGATGTGTTAAAACAAACTAGAAAACAGATGACTTGTTGATATATCTAGATGGCAGGAACAGGTGGCCCATATATTCAAGCAGGCTGCCTTAGCACATCAAATGTTGATTATTGCCCCTTAACAATGGATGACTTCAGAAAATCTTACTACTTCACAAAGAAAAATTCAAACTATTTCCTGTGTCCAACCACTATAAATTCACTTATGGTAATTTGGACCTCAAACACATGACTGTTGACCGTTTTCTTTATACCGATTTGGAAGACAATCTAAAAAGCGACATGGTAGTTAATGATAAACATACGTTCTACCCAGTTCGATTAGAGATGTCCTAGCCAGACGGAACAAATTATTTTAAATTATAGATAATGTATCCGAAGACTTCGTTAGTCTAGACCGAAAGATAAGGTCCTGAAAGAATTGGGAAGTTAGGTGAACAACATCACAGATGAGGTATGTTTAATAAGAGTGTAATTTGATACAAATTTTTGTTATAACCTATCATAATGAGCTTCGAAAAGTTAAAAACCATATATTGTCTACATTTGGTCTCGTGAGAATAGTGCTGTCAACTGTTGGTCGGACCTGAGGAAAGCTGTCATCCCCTTAACCCTATTTAAGCAGGTTCAAATATACTTGAACTCAAAGCTTCAACGGAAGAATTTCTGAATTTGCTATACTTCCAAACTTGTACTGGATGAACAAAATCTATAATTTATTCATTTTTTCCTTTACCTGTTCACTCTTAGCAGGATGCACCTTTAAAAATCATTGATTTTTTCAGTATTGATTGCAATAAACTAAAACTTTTTCTCTGAATTATGTGAAGTTCATACCATCAATAACATGACTATCACTTAGTTTCAACAAATATTTATTCATCTTCTTTAACAAAAATCTAATGGTGCATCTCGTTTACTTCCTCACAACAAGAAACTTTACCATACGTATACAGATAACGTTAGAAAATACAGTAAGGTGTGTTAAATAAATATGAATTGGTTAATGAATTTCACATACTGTTTCTTCATACCACTTGATAAACACTAACGTTTTATTTACACTGAATATTTGCAAATCTTATGCAAGCCATTGTATATTTAATTTATTTGCTGAAATGACGAACAACACCAGTTTTATTTCACAAAGCAATAAATCATAATCAAAAGTATCAGATTAATTACCTCTTCATTGCTAGCTAATTTGTTTGAACAAAATTTTATTTATCAAACCTCGGTTTCTATTCAATCATCACGTGCTTTAACCATCGTATTGAGAGAAATGTGAGGATGACTAATTTTTTATGATACCAACTCAAAGAAGTACTCTCTTCTTAATACAAATACAAATTCTCATATTAAGTTGCATAAGTTTTTAAGAGTCTGGAAAACCGAGTTTTCTATGTGTAAAAAGAGGATTTGGTTAATGAAAAGGTTACCGAACAGCATCAACCAGAGTTACCAAGCATTTAATTCACTGATTGTACAGCAAAACACAGTGTGGTGATCATGAATCTTTAGTCTGCTCCTTAGGCATACTTACTTCTTTAAACATATTGCTCTTCTTGGGTTATAATCCAATGATCAGGAATCTCTAACGAACTCTGAACTGCGCCCTATTTTCAATTATTCTCAGTTGTTATTCATTTTTTAATATCTGCCCCCAATTACCAGAGCAAAGTCTTCTTTGATCTTACTCTTCTCCTTAAGCCTCAGAGATTCCAAGATAAGGCTACCTCGTGATTCGGTTTGATGATTTATGCAATGTGTATCCTAACCAGCTCCAACGTCTTTTCCTAATTACTTTTCTAGCTGCAAGCTGGTATATTCTCTCTCACAGTAGGTTGTTGGTGATGGTATCCGGTTAACGGATATCGAGTATGTTAAGTTGACTTACGTTTAAAATACCTGTAGGCTTTTCATGATGATTGTAGAAGTCTTCAAATTATCAGATACACACAACAAAACTAACTCAACGTCGACGTTGAAAATTATGACTTTACTGTCAGCTGCCAGCTGGTCCTGTTCCATCATCCCTTTCAATTTCTGTGATGCTCTTGCTAATTCATATGATTGTTGATGCGGCAGAATCTATAGGAAGATCTGTATGTGTTGCTTCAATATTTGATGGATTCAGTGTGTCTGGTGTACTGAAGAGCTCTTCAAATTGTATTCCCCACTTATTGTTGTGTTGTTGAATCTCATTGATTAGACAGCTTTTGTTATCCTGAGATTGTCTCTCCGGTCTTCTGTATTTTACTGTTGACATTTTTTCGTTATATCATGAAGTCCTCTTACGTTTTCGCTTCTCACAGTTTTTTCTGTCATAGTCCACAGATTTTCTATACATTTCCACTCGTCATTTCTAAAGTTTTTCTTCACTCATTTGTTTGCTTGTTTATACACATTTTTTCGACTTCTGATATCTTTTGTCTTCTTGTGCTTCCTCTCTCTAATCTCGCCAAGGTTATTTACTGAAATATGATTTTCATGTTGGTGGCTTTTGTGAGCCAAAACCTTCTGACATGATAGATTCATCCAATTTCAATCTCTTTCCAGTTGCTCTGTGTACTGTTTCTTTCGCCTCTAATAGATGCTGCAATAATTTGAATTTGTTTCTGTGAACTGTATTGAGCTCAATGAGCTCGTTAGAGTTTCGAAGATAGTATGTATAAAAGCATTTATTATCCTGCTCCAATGTTGGATGGTAGATAACATTAAGCATGTAAAACGAACTTAAACGGCGTCATAAATAAATAATAAATTTTTAATATCCCAATGGGTAGAAAATCTAATTTTTCTACTTATTGGTATATTGTAAATATATTATTTATTTATAACAATCTACCCAATGCTCAATTTATTTGAAATTATCAAACCACACCTTGGTAATGATACCTACAAACTCATTGAACGGCATCAGTTTAACCAAACACATTCACTATCTTTATTCAGTTTCCGAAATCTCGACTTAATTAAAACATACAAACTGACAAAAACTAGTTAACAACTAATCATTATCAGAAGGGGTTTTGTAGGGATTGTAGTGATTTAAACAATTGAGATCATGAGTCGATTGAAGCTAGACCACCATGGAAAACCTGGAAGCACTGGACGGCCGTTTCATCCAATTGTGGGACTCCTCAGCGGTGCGCATCCACGACCCCGCCTCGCAAGATTCGAACCCAGGACTTATCAGTCTCGTGCCAAGCGCTTAACCAACTAGACCGCTGGGCCGGCCGGCATCCAAGGGTGTTAATGTCTAACTTCAACTAATCCACGAAATTGAGGGACACATCCACGATTGTCATTAGTGAGTTACTAACTCACAACTGACCCGGTTGAACTCCACTGGTCACTCCATTATCACTTTACAAATCAACTTGGTAAAGTGTTTATTGAATTTTACAACACAGAATTTCATGCTTTACATATCAATCTGTTGTACAAGTGTAAACTGTCATGTTAAATAATGTTTCTACATAATGTAGTCAATTAGTTACAATGTAAACTGTAAAAATTTGCTTAGTCATTATTGTTTTTTTAATGGTAAAGTAATTTAATTTAATTGATATGACATTTTTCTCTTTACCAATTATGGATCATAAAATGTGATAACCATTTGATAATTTACTATTAGGTATGACATATAGTATGTAAACAACTCTGAGTTATTGATTTTCCATAGATTGATATTTTATCTTTTCTTTTTAAAGAAATTATTGTCTCCAAGATAGCAACAGAACAAAATAGAATGGTAAAAAATTTTTAATTAGATCCCAAAGATGATTATTGTTTATAAATTTATCTAAACATGTTATCACATAGAAATCTCGTGTTATGTAATATTTTCTTTATAAGAGAGAATTAAATTGTTTGGGTTGTAATCTGTTGGAATAATCATATATTCTTTGAATAGTATCTCCATTATTACTAATATTCTAGAATTTAGATAAATTGTCGATATACCTGAAAAATTTAATCGTATCCAACTCAATATGGTGAATCAATTTATTTATTTACAGGAGTTGATACCATATCAAGCCCACATAGGTTATTCTATCCTCTGGAGAGATCAATTTATCCATTCTTGTTGAGTCATATTTTGACGTTGTTAATTCTTCGTTTACCAACCTTGACTAATTTTATGTAAGCGTATTTTTGTGTGCATTTCTTATCTTATTCATCACATGTTTGTAATTTATTTTTATCTGACTATAAATATCGATCAATGCTTGGTTAAATTGAGTTGGTTCACTCGCCATTTACATTACGCGTCATTTTGTTTTACTCCGCTTTACGATCAATGATTGTACAATATTTACATACTCAAAACTTCATTCTCATATTTGATTTATTTAATTCCGTTATTCACCAACGCGATCAAAGTCGATGTGTATATACGAGGGTAGCCAGGATGTATATTTCATTAGCAATCAACATACGATCTACTTGGAGTCAGATGTTGGGCCACTAAATATTATTTTCATTTATGCTCAGATTCATTCTTAACTATCAAAAAACTGTTTAGTCTTAATTTCCACCTGTCATTAAGTGAGTTTGATAATTACTTAAGTAACATTGGTTACACAAATTGAGATCATTTTTTGAGTATATTATTGCATGTAAGTCAAATATTAAACAGGTTGACTGATTACCTTCTCATATTACATATGAAGGAAAGATATATAGGAAATGTAGAAAGGTTTGTTAAATTTTAATATTCATAGTGTTCATTCAGACTATCAGAGCACGCTATAGCCAGTTATAAATAGTTATTTTTAATCGAAAGTTGTTCTGTGAATGTTAATTTCAGGCATGCAAGTAGTGAATTAAGTAGTCGAATCTTTTCAAAGTTACCACCTTTAAAAACATTTTTACAAATTTATTTGTCAAATGAACTGATTCAAAGATAAAAGTGTTAAATATTATATAACATACAATCGTTGACGATAGAAACGTAGAAAATATTACCATAAACCTCGAAACATGGACATTTTGATTCTCACAGTTCACCATTAATTCTGTGACATCGTAGTAATAATATACATTAATTTTATACATCAGTGGCATTAATTGTGAATTATTAAAATTATGAAATATTATAACACTGTAATCATTTTATATTAAAGTTAGACAATAATTTGTACATTCTGATTGAATGGTTACCTTTGTAAAAATACAACAGATAGGTAACATAATCTTCAAGCTTCACATATTTCTCAATCATCAAAAAAAAAGTCATTACATTTCTGATTTGCATCGTTCTTATACAAAACAGTGAAAGATACACATGGATGAAAGTTCTAGAGAATGTATATATACATAAAATGAATTTGAGTTGAATTTTATGACAAAACTGAAATATGCAAAACAGATTATAAGTAATATATTGTTTAATAAGTTTCCAAATCTACACAATCATGATTTGATGATATTACAGTAGAATTATAACGTGCCATATACATATAAATTGGGCCCTTATTATTTATACGTATACCAACAACTGGATCATAACATAAATAAGTCGTATCAGCTGACCCTATATCAATATTAGATTTACACTTCCTGAGTTTATTTTCAAGATGAATATAATCATCATTATCATCATAATCATTGTAAAAACCATAATCATTCATTTTCACATTCATATTGTCATGATAAATATTTAAATCGTTTTTACGATAATAAACTTTATTTCCTGTAGGTATTGTCATTGTTTTTAACATTCTAACATTATGATTACAATCTAATGGTTGACTTAAATGTTGATTAAGATCAATTGAATTTCTCTTGGTATTCATAGGATAATTTGTACAATATATATCTTGTTTTGTATGTATATATTTGTCGAAATCATAATCATCATTAAATGTTGTCAATGATAATGGTGATGTTGAAGACGTTACATTTAATGTCTTTTGTTTGAATAATTTATTGTCTTTGATATAAATATGTTTTTCTTCTTCTTCTTCATTATTATTATCATCACTATTATTATTATTATTGTAAGGGATAGGGAACAGTTTGCTTGCAGAATAATCACTATATACATGATTTTTTGTTATATTCATCTTTGGATTAATATATTCTGATTTATTTGAATATAAATTATATAATGAATAAAATTTTGGTTGATATAATTGTAAATTATTAGAACATACTAAATTTGATGTACTTTTTATTGATCCTTTTCTAATTAAATAATAATTATTATTATCATTATTATTATTATTATTTATTGAATAATCATTGGAATTATGAATAATTAAATTAGAATTCAAATTTAAATTTGAATTATTCTTTACAATAGGATGATCAATTTGTTTGATTGATTTTATAACATTCAAATGATTATTTGTTTGATTCAATGAATTATTGAATGTTGAATAATTGAATTGATGTTTTGAATTATAATAATAATGATTATTATTATTATCATTATTATTATTACGTAATAAATGATTTAATGTGATTGGATCATGTATTGTATGATATAAATTAATAGATGCTTTATAGGTTAAATGGCATACAGTACTAACATCATTATAATTCATACATTGATATAATTCATAAGATTTTTTATTATTATGATTATGATTATTATGATTATTTTCATTTATAATACATAACATAAATAATTGTGGATAATTAGGGAATATAAAAAAGTGTTTAATTTCACGATAAATTAGTTCTTTACGAAATGGTTTTATATAAATTACATTTTTATATTGTTTAAAACGTATACGATCAATAAGGAAATAGGCAATACATTTTGATTTTCTATGTTTATTTAAATATTTATTTAATAAATAATTTGCATAAGTTTCATTAAATGTTTCATTATTTTTAATAAATATTTGTTTAATTAATTTTAAATGACAATGAAAAAATAATAATTGACGTGTTTTATAATCAATAAATTGATTAGATTCATGATTATTGATTTTTTTCATGATAATTAATTATATTAAAAATAGATTTGTGATATTTAGATAAGAAACATAATCATTGTAATAATATTACTGATAATAATAATAATAATGAGACTGATCAATTACAGTTCTAAACATCAATAGGAAGATCCAAGCAAATAGTACCAAGTGGATTTAATAATACTATTAATGAGACTGACCGATTACAGTTCTAAACATCAGTAGGACGATTCAAGTAAACAGCACCAAGTGAATTTAACAATAATAATAATAATAATAATAATAATAATAATGAGACTGATCAATTACAGTCCTAAACATCAATAGGAAGATTCAAGTAAATAGTACCAAGTGAATCCAGTAATAATAATAATAACAATAGTAATGGTTTTCTTATCCAGTATTATTACAATATAAATATTTATTGAACGAAACTATTACTATTATTATGATTAGTAATATTAATGTTTGTTTGTTTTCTATAAAAAAGATGTAAATTGTAAAATCTATGTGTATACATTATTTATACATAGTGATTATAATAATAATGAACAATTATGATTATCATATAATGTAAATGAACAATATGACGTGAGTATATATATATATGTATGATTAATTATATTATTGTTACATCAGGTGTAAAGGTAAACATTATAATACCTAATATGTATGATACAAATATACAAATTGATTGAATGTAATATCATATGATACATTTATTAAAGTGTTATTTGTTTAAAGTACATTTATTCACTAATCATTTAATTGATTTTCTACTAACTTTATTAAGATGATGACTTTAGATTGAAGGTGAGATTTTGTTTGAAAATAATTTTTAAAAAAGAAACACAACATAGAGAAGGCTACATAGTAACTAAAACATCGATCATTCAAAATAGATAACTATTGGAAATTTTTGATGGAGTTTTGTTCTCTAAGCTGGATGGTTTGGTCTTGGAGCTTTCATCGTTCTTCTGAACTACATCATCAGCACAAACTTCAGATAGAATTGAAATGTTTGAATTTCTCCATATGCGTTTTACAGCTTCTTCTATACACCTCGACGTTGACTGGTTCTTATTGACTTTAAATTTGTCATTGTTTACTCCTTTATTTTGGTTGTGTCTCTCATTGGTTTGATTTTTGTTCCTATATTTGTGCATAATTTTCCTGATTGGTTGATAAATTGGATCGATTTCAATGTGTTTGTTGATAGCTGATTGAGCTGAGTGCCAGGCTTCTAAAAATTCTCTGGTGTCTTTGGGATTTCCTCTATCCAAGATTTCTACATTTTTCCAACCATCCAGCTCAGAGAACAAAACTCCATCAAAATCGTCCACCTGAGCTACAAATCTTCTCTACCATCTAACTATTGGAAATTCATAGACTTTCTGTTTTCACTGATTAATTATTTATCTTGAAAACTATTAAATTGTGTTTGAAACAATCTGTTTATCTAGTATTATAGTGAACAAGAACATGACTGAGGACAATCGAATGTATTTATCACAAAATTACAGAACTTGTTAATAAAATTTGTAAAATGACCATTAGTTGTCTTAAAAAGACTCAGTCTTCATTGTTCTTGTATTTTCATACAAATTGCGTTCTGTTTCCATTCTTTACTGTTTGATCCTCTTGTCTTTCTGTTGCCAGACATTCTATTCCTGACTAACGTCATATACTACTTATGTCGATAAAAGTAGCACACACCACTGTAATACTATAAGAATAATCAGATTTTATCAATCAATATATGTACTAATATCTGAATAATCAGCATGAACTGAATAAATGTGTGTGGAAAATAGTTTGCATAAGTAGCAATTGTTTTAATATAAAATTTGTATTTAGGGTATATAGACCAGTATTCTCAAGTAGGATTCCAAGATATCGTTATAAAGGTAAGCTTAGTTAGGGTACTAAACCACACACTGTATTTGCAAAATATGAGCACAATCCATTCAATGCATACAGTTGCATATTGTTCTTGAATTGTTTCTTACAAGCTCCATCGTCCTTCCATTTCCGTTACTACTTGGACTACTTTTGTTTTTTCTCTTTCATCTCCCCATGTTCCTCTTCTGTCAGTAAGAATTCTACTTCCGATTCTTGATACCTACTACTTATACCTGTCTGTACAAAGTAGCACACACTACAATATTACTTCTAGTATTTTTTAAACAGATATGACAACAAAAACGATGTGAGAATTTTAATAAGTTAATTTTTCTCTGCATTCATATGATTTATCAATCTTAAATACACTGAGAATGTGTGATAGTAGTATTTGAATTATTATACGAACTAGGAATCCTAGAAATAGCGAAGTCTAAGCATACAGAAATAGGTGAGCGCAAACGAACTTACTGTATTTGGAATTTGAAATTAGACAGGTATCAAGTACAAAGGAATCATTAATTCATACTAAGACCACATCCACCACAGCTTAAATGAGAATCCAAATTTCTACAATCAACTATACTTCTTCTCCTTAGGTTCATCATATGTCTGTCTGACTGTGTATTGTATGTACACTCTGTATGATCTGGAATATACTTATTAGTATTAGAATTAACAACTGAAATTAGAACGAACTCACCTGGGTTCTGGGATTTTATTTGTTTAACATATTGGTCTTGTACTGAAATCAATGAGGACAAATAACATTTAATATTTTCTATTATTCTATTATTTTTTTCTATTATTAGAAGCTTTATTCAACATTATATTTTTGGTACAACATAGAATTCTCAGCATAAAGTATTTCAACAAGTTTCCTTTTCTTATACCTTGATCGACTGTGACGATAAATTTTGAATGATGACCAGTTAGATGTTAGAAGTTCGGTAATCCACATTTGATTACTGTTCATTTGTTTCAATGCATATTGCCAGCAACCATGATGTCTCTGATTGTACCTTTTTGTATCCCGTATAGCGAAAGGTTGTAAACTTTTCATAAACGCGCCTGAATAGGTTGTGCGCACAATAGACATAGTGATGTGCTAAAACAAACAACAAAACAGATAACTTGATGAAATATCTAGATCGGTGGAACAGGTAGCCCAGATATTCATCAACATTTGATTTTCCTAAAATATTTTCCTCAAATTGATTAAGAATTTTATTAGAGAATTATTAATCACTTGAAAAATCAGCATCTATCAAAACTACAACAGATTTTCGATCATGATTTGATTCACTCAAGATATTTTCCTCACACTTATAATAAATCTCATCAGAAATATGTGAATCATCAGGACAAACCATATCTGGTACAACAACATGAAAGTTCTAATCAAGGTTTGATGCACTGGATATATCTTCCATACATCTGTAAATAATTCATTGGAAATACATGAATCATGGGAACGATGCACATCTGGAAAAATAATGTTATGAATCTGATAAGAGTATGATTCATTTTGAACATTCAACTTAATAGGATCAGAATTACAAAGTTTAGCATTATTTAAAAGTAAATGAACAATAGTATTACAAACTGTTTGTATGTGTCAACTTTGACCAAATTTAAAGCATTTAGCATTATGAAATACACATGAATTACGTGAGTGAAATTTGTCACAGGATACACATTTACCAAGCTTGCGCTCATCTGCATAACCTTGAATACACATCGGATTGGGATAACGTAGTAAAATAGTGAACGAATCATTATATGAAATTTTCTTCCTTTACACCACTCAAAATTTGTACACTTTACTAAATCTAGTAGCAGTTCCTTGAATGGGAATGCTGAAGTTTTTAATAAGTTGTATGCTTCTTTTAAAATGAATGCAAAGAACTGGGTCACAATATTAACATTTTCAACATCTTACTTGATCATTGTGTAGATTTCGAACCTTTCCATATAATTCTAGAAAGCATCAAAATTTGAACTTATGTCCGAATGTTCCACCACATGCTCCATCGCAACGCCAATGTGACAATTAGAAGTATTTGAATTATTATACGAACTAGGAATCCTCGAAATAGCGCAGTCTAAACAGGCAGATACAGGTGAGCACAAACAAACGTATTGTATTTGGAACTCGAAATCAGACATATAGGGTACTACAATTTAAACACAATTCACACTCAAGAACTCGACATTTAAATTATCTGCACAAATATAAATCTTAAAAATAAATTGGTGGTTTTTAGGTCAAAATTATGATCTCACTACTATTTTTTTTTAACTGTTTCTGAGTAAAAGCTGACTAAATAAATGTTGGAATTATTCGATTGGCTAAGATTTTCAAAAATCTATAATGGGTTATGGTTTAGTTTACCAAATTCAGACTTTGTAAATGCTAAGAAGAAGGATTTGAGCAAAATGACATGAATACAGTTTATTTCGTTTCGTTTTTGTTGGTCGGTTACAATCTCTAATATTTAAAAATTGTTATTGTGAAACGGCTTTAGACTACTTACATGAAAGAGTTTAGTTAGAAATTGCTATCATCACACATCAGTATGTTACAAAAAGAGTGCAAAAACTCTGACAAATTAAATAAAATACCGCAAATTTATATCTTTTTTTGAAAGAATCTCCTACAATACCGTTAGTAACAAAACTACAAAAGAGATAGAAACATGTGGTTGCACAATGATCAAACACTGGTAATAAGTAAGAATAAAATGAGTAAACCTCAGTTACTTAAAATAAGATTACAAGTATAGAAGGCAGTCGGAATAAATGAAATTATAACGCAATTAATTAGAAGAAAGAGTCAAACAACATTTTATGAGGTATTTTAAAACTATTCTTCATCAAGAGAGTGAAAGATTAACAGCCATCTCCATTCAAAGACACAAATCAGGTTTCTGACACCTAATAGAAATATCTTTAGCAAACTTTGGGAGACTTGAGCTTGGGTGTTTATTTTTCAGCTTTAAAGATTTCTAAATATTGACCGATGCCTTACGTCCAAGAGATATCTGGTGATTACGTTATTTAAAGTATATCTTCCCCATGTTCGAAGGCTCTATGGAACGTGTTAAGATATGTTCTCA